CTATCATTGGTGTCAGAGAATCATACCACATTTTCTTCCTAAATCTATCCATTTCATTCTCTTTCTTTGCACCAAATATGTAATCATAATCTCTAAGTGACCTTAGTGCTTTAGGGTAAATTGTGTCCACTTCTATGAATAATCCAAGTATATAGCAATATGGACCAATAGAGGTGGTCATTGGCTTCAATACTAATGAATAAGGTACCACAATGGAGAATATAGATATAGAGTCTATAATGAAAGAATTCTCTATAGATGGTATATGTATAAGCTTAATAATAGTTGTGTCTAATGGTAGAGTCAAACAACCTTCATCACAATCATTAAACAATGAGTTTTCAAACACATGCAATTTTGGCTTATCATATAATGGATTTTCAAAGCACAAAAGAGAATACATATATAGATATACTATGAAGTTCACTTTTTTGTTGATTAGGACCATTATTGAAACCTTTTTACAACTTAAGGTAGGGAATTGAACAATTCTCTCTAAAATTCATATCATTTATTTTCTCTTTCATTGATGGTTTATCTAGAGGAAGCTCTAAGAACGAAGCGTCTATAGCTTCGAGCATAAGATCAAAGAATCAAAAAACTACTAGACAAATAAGTTATTTCCTTTGAGTTTTTCTTTATTTTTAAGCTTGAAACTATATTTAAGAAGGAATGTGTTTAAGAGTTTAAATGATCTATTTAATAAGCTTGCTTTATTAACACATCTATCCATCTCATGCATTCTACACAATCGGATAAGTGATTATCAAAGAACTCAAAAAATTGTATGAATAAAATATCAAGATTAATTTTTTCTTGAATGCTATCTTTCATTTTAACTCTCTTAAACGATCCATCTTCATCAACTTTTCTAGCCATAAGCTTATCCTTTACCTTCACTATCTCTTCTTCTACAATTTTTACAAATTATGGTATCTCTAAAGTAATGGGCTCATTATTATCATCATCAATCCACATTGAACCTCATCTCCTCAAACGATTCCTTAATGTATGCTCTTCCTTCTCCTCCCAACAAGATGTTGACTCTATAGTGCTAAGTATAGGATTTAAAAGGTTAGTATTTAAGGTATGTGCATTTTGATCATATTGCCTAGAATTCCTAATGCATGCCTTTAGGTCTTATTGGTATTTTTCTTGAGTTTGGAGCAATTTAATGAACATCTCTTCAATGGATGGCTTCTTTTCTTCTGTATTAGGTGGTGGTGAATATGGTGTGAATGAAAAATGATATGAAGATGAATAAAGTTGTGATGAAAAAAAAAATTATTATAGTGGAACATAGTGTGGCACTTGAGAAACTTATAATGATGCTGGAGAATATTGGGATGGTGGAGGGTATTGTAAATGTGAATGCTCGATAAGATAAGTTGGGGTGTACTGAGGTGGTGAACTAAAAGAATATCTCAAACTAGTATCCCACATGGTTTTAGAATAACAATCTCAAGTGTAAGTAGTGTTAGTGTCTGTATAAGATTAAAAGTATTGATCATATGGAAACCTATCATTGTAGTAAATTTCACTATACACTTGACGTTATCATGTTAGCTTGAAAAATTATGGACAAAAATAGGTTCCGGATCATACTTAGCTTGAATGGCATTTATTTGATTTTTTATAAAGTCAAAAGTTTTAGATAGATCTTTAAGGGTCGACTCCATTTTGGTATTGTTTTCCTTATTAGGCAATGTCTAGGTAGTCTTCAAATATAGGTTAATCAATGGGTCCACATGATGTCTGCTACCTCTCATAAAGTGGGTTGAATCCACTGTAAAGAAAACAAATCCTAAACAAAAATCTATGGGAAGAAAGTTAGTTATGTACAACCTAAGAAAATAAAAACAAGGCAAGTTAGTAACTAGCCTAACAAAAGTACACTAAAGGTGAACCAATCTATAGATGAGCATGGTGAAGCACGATATTAACCTAAAACTTTTTACTCCTAATCCCAACAACATCATCAAAAACTTGATTGGAAAAATCCTGCAAGTGTATAAGCCATTTAAGTAATAATAAAGACTATAAAAGTCTAGATACCGATCCCACGGGTATTAGTTAAAGACATTCTTAGGCTAAGTACCTATTATCCCCATACTCTTCTAAATTTGATTCGATCAAAAAAATAAGCTTGAAAATTAACAACGAAAATAAAAGTGAATAAAGCATCAAAAATATAAAACTAAGTAAATAAAAATGAACAAGAACAAAAAGTAAATACATGTTATAAAATGTAAAATATAGTAGCTAAATCAAGGTAAAAACAAATTTGAAGTAAATTGAAGTAATGAAAATGAAAAATGCAACTAAACTTGCAAAACTTGCAAAATCGAAAATCTAAAGCTACAATAGAAAAACTATGACTTTAAGAATCAAAACTAATTCTAAATGTTAACAAATTTCATGAAATCAAAATTGAAATTAAAAAAAATTAATGCTTTGAAATAACAACAAAAATTAAATGCAAGTAATGGAAGAAAATAGTAAAATCCAAACAAAAGGTTGAAAAATCGAAAGTAGTTGTAAATCTAGAAACCAAACTTTATACTTGTAATGAAATATGTCTCTATCGTCTCATATTCTATACTTGTGAATGGTGACACTACAAATAGGTTTTCTCCCAAGTGAGGCTTGAGGTAAGGTGATCCTCTCTCACCTTATTTATTTATACTGTGTACTAAATGATTTCTTGCAATATTGACAAGATATCATAAAAACAAATTGATTAGTGGGATGTATGCCGACAAAAATGAGCAAAAAATCACTCATTTGTTTTTCGTAGATGACAATATATTATTCATCAAAGCAAATTAGGCCAAATGTGAAACAATGAGGAACTTGCTACAGAGATACAAAAATTGACTAATAGATTAATTTAAGAAAATCTTCCTTATATTTTAGCAAGAATACTGAGGAGAGAAGCAAGGAGATCGTCAAACAAATATCAAGAATCCAAGTTATAACAAGCCCCCAAAAATACTTGGGACTTCCAACATTGGTGGGCAAGAATAAGAATATATCTTTCATAAAGATCTAAAACAAATTTTGGACAAGGATAAACTCTTAGAGCAACAGCATTTTACCATTTAAAGGAAAGAAAACTTTTATCAAATCTATTCCCTAGGCCATTCCATCTTATGCGATTAGTTGCTTCATTTTTCCAAAGGGCTTATGTCATGAATAGGGAATTAAATAATGACACAATAGCAAAATAGCGACTGCTATTTAGCGGTAGCGCCTCCGGCCACCACCGCTATTTTAGAGAAAACAATTGTGAATTTGAAACACATTCAAAATGGTGCATTACGGTCGCAACAGAATGCAGTAATGAGCAATAGCGAAAATAACGGTCTGCTATTGCACTATCCTTGTTTTTCATCCATATTTCTTATTTTTAAAAGAAAAAAATCAATTAAATGAACTCAATTTACCAAATTTATCCTCAACCAAGATCAAGTGTCGAAGAACAATCAATTTAAAGGTAAAAGTAAATTAAAATTACCTTTTTTAAAAAAAAAAAATTGCTAGCTTGCTGCATATTGCTGTTGAAAAAAATCTTTGATGACTAATCTATAATAGGGAAACGAAAAGGCTATAGGCTATGAGTTAAGTGTGTGTTGAAATTGGTGGTGGAGAAAAAGAGGCAGAGACCGGAGAGTTAATCAAGAGAGGTAGAAAGGGGATGAGGATTTTTTTTATTTACTAATTTTGGAGTTTAGGTCTTTGTGAGAAAGACGAGAAAAAGAATAATGAAGAAAAAAAGGCTAGATCTTGGAGGAATGGAGGCTGAAGTGTGTGGTTACCAAACATTGAATTAAAGGTTAAGGCAGAAAGGCTTGGGGGTGAGGGGCGAAAGGCGGGTGAGCGTGTGAAAGCCAAAAAGAAATGAAGACTTCTAAAGAAAAAAAAAAGAAATAGGAAATTTAGAGGAATATGGCGTGAGTGGGTCTGATAAATTGGTGGGCTAACTGGAGGGGTATGTTTAAGGGTGTTGAATAGGTAAAAGGAAATAGAATTTTTTTTAACTTTGTTATAATATTGAATATGATTTTCTCTCAAGCAAAAATTTGGTACAAAATAAATATAAATATATTGATATAATTTTCAAAAAATTATGAATAATTAAAAAAAATTAAATAAAAAGTGTCATAAATTATTTTAAAAAACATAAAATAAGAGTTTTGTGATTATTATTATTATAATTATTACATTTTATAATGAATTGTGTAAAATTAAAAAAAAAAATTTCACGACTACGATGATCACAATATTCTTCATTATTTTTTTATTTGTGATAAACGTAACGCGCTCAAAAACATAACCGCAACTGCAATTTAAATCTATAGTCGTGAAATTGAATAGTCTCATAGACACCTATTAGTGGGGATCTGAGAAGGATGGAAAGGGTCTGCATTGGGTCAAAGGGGAAACAATGTGTCGCATTAAGGGAGTTGGAGGAATGGGTTTTAGGAGTTTTGAGATCTTCAACCGTGCACTCTTAGCCAAACAAGCGTGAAGCCTGTTAATGCAACCTTACTCGCTGGCATACAGGGTCCTGAGTGCAAGGTATTTCAACTTTCCTGGATGCCCGAATGGGCTACTGTCCATCTTTTACATGGAAAAGTATTTGGGCTGTTAAAAATGTTCTGCAAGCAGGGTTGGTATGGAGGGTAGGAGATGGAAGGCAGATCAGAATATGAGGAGATAAATGGCTGCCTCTTAATCGGGCTATAAACTCAAACAACAATGGACATAGTCTTAATTTAGTGATGCAAAAGTTGTGACTTTGATAAACCAAGCCACAGGGACACGGAAGCAAGACCTTATTCAAAGAATCTTCTCGGAGGAGGAGGCTACTTTAATATTCTCCCTCCCACTTAGTAGAAACCATCATGAGGACAGTTTAACATGGAGTATGGGGAAGAATGGATCATATACGGTAAGAAGTGGCTACCGTCTTCTATGTATGGAAATGGGAAAGGTATATGGGAGAGCCAGGAAACGACGCCAAGAATAGATTCTGGAAGACAAGACTCCCAAGCAAGATCCAGATTTTTGGATGGAAGCTCAATAATGGTTATCTACCAGTTTTTAGCAACCAGCGAAGAAGAGGTATTGAGGTTAGCCCGGTTTGCTTGAGATGTGGTAAGGAGGATGAGACTGTAACGCATGCATTATGGGGTTGTGAAAATGCTAAGGCAGTGTGGGACTGTATGTCCATTTCGAACAAGTGGAAATTGGGGGCCCCAAGGCAGCATCGTGGGTTTTTGGCTATGATTGCAGAAGAGGCTGGATCTGATAGCTTGGAAATGGGACTGGTAGCAGCTTGGGCAATTTGGCATAGTCAAAATATAGAAGTCATAAACGGAGAAAAACGAGGTCCCAAAGAAATGGCAAAAGTTTGCTGAGGATTTTTTGGAGGAATATAGGCTAGCTAATGTCGGATTTGAACGACAGTGCGTGGAGGAGGAGGTACACTGGCAGCCACCACCGTATGGCAGCTTTAAAGTCAATTTCGATGGGAGTTTCAATGCGCATGGGAGTGGAGGGTGTATTGGTGTAGCAATTAGAGACCATGAAGGACACTGTATGGGCGTTATTGCAGCAAAGATGGAAGACGTGTGTGATCCCCTAGTGGTGGAAGCCATAGCAGCCCTCCAATCTTTTAAGCTAGCTGAAGATATGCGACTCCCTCGAGTCATCATAGAAGAGACTCTACACAAGTAATCAACAGCATTAATGCTAGAACAAAGAACCTATCTATAACAGGGAACCTGGTAGCAGATATTCACATGATCTGAATCCGGATGGAATCTATAAATGTGGTCCATGCAAGGAGGAAAGAAAACGGAGCTGCTCATGCCCTAGCAAGGAGTGCACTTAGACTGGAAAATACTGTTACTTGGCCTGGGAATGTCCCCCTCTTATCCGCGATACTATTACCGCTGAATGTACTAATTCAGATTGAAATGAAATCTACATTTCTTATCAAAAAAAAAAAATTTCTTAAATATCGGACGAGTTTTCCTTGGACATAATACTTGGCAAATGAATTTATTAATAAATCCACAATATCTACTGGCAAGTATAAAGAATAATCAATTATACAAGAAAAATAGAGTAAACAAATTTCTTGGTAAATCAGACTTTTCCTTGTCAGATAAGTAAATAGAGAAGAAAAATTCACTATTTTAGCGTTGACTATTTCTCATCTTTCAATACATGCGAGTTTCGACGTGTTTTGGCCACGAAGAATGAAAATGTAAGTAATTTGAGGAGGTCTTATCCGTCCTTTTATCCTTACACGCGTTTTGAAAATACTAGCTTACAGGCCTTTTTTTTTTTTTTTAATTTATTTAATGTCGGTTTGATTCGCAAAAGGCCAAGAAAATGCTTAATGCATGCGAGTTTCGACGTGTTTTGGCCACGAAGAATGGAAATGTAAGTAATTTGTGTGGGTCTTATCCGCCCTTTTATCCTTATACGCGTTTTGAAAAGACTAGCTTACAGGCCTTTTTTTTTTTTTTCTGTTTTTTAATTTATTTAATGTCGGTTTGATTCGCAAAAGGCTAAGAAAATGCTTAGAAATTTTATTTTAACATAATAATAAAGAACCTATTAAAAAATAATATATAGAACTTTTGACTTTGTCACATAGCCAATAAAGCATGATAATATGTAACAGCTCCATCCAATCATTATGTTATTTTTTTTCTTTTATTGGGTTTTTTCTCCATTAATTATTGAAAATTACCATTTTTCGATACCCTACATTGGTCCATATGGTTGCTGAATTTTCTTTTGTTTATGTACATCTTTTCTCATTCTCTTAGAAAAAAGTTACACGATTGAAAATGTCAAAATGATGTAAATTTTATCAAAAATTGCAAAACGTGCTTGAAAAATTTTACATTTTGAAAACTAAATTGAAATATTTCGGAAGTTGAAATGAAACGTTTTATTTTTTTGTACTTGAATTTTTTAAAAATTAATTAAAATTAAAATTTAGCACTTTAACACTTACTTATATAACTATTAGCAAAATAAAATAAAGAGTTTTTAAACCACTTCGAGAACAAACATTTTTTAAGAAAATAACATAACCCACGTTAAAACAGAGTAAAAGGATTATGCAAATTGGCTTAGTTGATATACTAGTGAGGTTAATTTCAAGGCGAAAAGATCTTTTTCATCGCTAAAAACGCGAAAAAGGCTAAATCCACGTAAATATCCCCTTTTTTTTTGTAATCGTAGATTGTTACATATATTTTTAAACATGATAAAAATCATATGATTTTCTCTTTTTTTTTTTTGCTAAATATGATTTTTTATTCTTAATTAAATTTTATATATTTATATTCAAATTAAAATTATTAAAAATTTAATCATAATCAAATTCATTGTGCATTATTAATCATTCTAAAATGAATTAGTGGTAGTGGATATCACCATTTGGGAGATAAATTTATTGAAATATTAAGAAATTGTTTTAGATTAAGAAGTAAAGTTTTAAATTTCACAAATTTAAGTAAATATAATTTAATTTTTTTTAAATAAAATATAATTCAATTCTAACATATAAATCATGGTGTTTTTTTATATTATATTTGAATATTGTTAATAATTTAAAACATGATATAATAACATAAAAATAATATAAATTTAAAATATAAAAGTAATATAATTTAAAATTTTAATAAAATTATATATAAATTTAATAAAATAAAAAAATATATTTTATTATTTTATAATAAGATAAATTATAATATATAATTTTATTATAAAATGCGCTAAAAATATATAAATTATTAATTTTTTAGATTATATAAATATACAAATGATAGATATCATGCAAGGATTAGAAGAGGAGAATTCCCATTGATGGTGCTACGGGACCACACCATAGGAAACAAGGGAAGGGAGGAAGGAAGCATGACATTATTCTGTCAAATAGCTTCTCTGAGTCAGACAAGTTGGTAAAAACATGCAGACCAAGACAAAAGGACAAAAAAAAATAGTGTTTTAAGAGATAGAAAAGTCTTGTGATGAAACTAAGAAGTTTCTGTCTATAGCAAGAAAGGAAGAAACAACGTGTGAGGTGAGTTTCTCGCTACTTTTCTTCTTCTTTTCTTTTTTAATGCTTTTGCTTTAGATTCCAGAAGATTGGGTTTTCCTTTTCATGTCTGGTCCTTTTGTTGTTGCAACTGAGATCATGGAATATTGATCTGTTCATCTTATTGTATATGGTATAGCTAAAACCCCTTGAAACCTACCATTATATATATATATATATATATATATAATTAATATTTCCTTATCTGGGTGTTTTTTCTTCATTTTATTTATTTATTTATCTCTTACAAATTTGGGTTTGTTTCTATTTCTTGGTTTGTTGCTTTTCAATCATACCTAACCTCGCAAATCATAATCTAAAGTTTTTCACCGAAATTAAAAAATAACAACAAAGGAGGTATATTTTCTTTTGGGTTGGTTTTTGATTACTGGTATACAAGGTCAAAGCCTTTGTTTTTTCTCCCTTCAAACACAATTCTGAGGCTCGTCTGTTTATCTGGGGTTATCTGCTGAATTGCAGGGTTTCACTGTAGAAATAACGATCTTTGATGCTTCTTCTTGAGGTCTTTCTCATGTATCAGGTACGGGGGAGAGCCTTGATGTTTTGATCATTTATTTTATTTTTCTTCTTTTTCACTTTTAGATGATTGTTGAAATGATATATCAGTAACTTGTCTTAAGATTTTTTTAACTATGTTATGATCCTCTCGATGTGTTTGTATGTCATAATCACAGAATTTGAATGTTTTGCGTTCTCTTCTGTGTTGCCTATTGTTCTTATCAAGTCTACTATGATAGAAAACACAGTCTTTTCTTTTTCCTTACAAATCAGTGTTTCTCAGAACATGGAATTTGGTCCTTGTCAGAAACTATTTGGTAGACATGGTTGCTAATTTCATTTTTGGTTATTTTCCTTTTGGGAATTATGATTGTATGATCCAAGTGTTATTTGCTGAGGGATCTTTACCTGAAGACTGCCAAACGTATTTTGTGCTTCCAGCACTTATGTATTAATGATGTTAGTAAATCATGGGCGAAATGTTCTATTAATTAGTTATCTCACTCCTTGGTATCTTTTTAAAGTTGTTTCTGGTCTTGGAACGCAGAAATTGCATTGTTGCATATTATTAAAAGAAAAAAGAACCCCGAAATGAGTTAAATTTGTGGGCTTTTTCACCATCCCTGACTTTTGTTTTCCTCTTCCAATATCTGCACTTGATAGCTGGGAAAAGGAGAGTGTTTCTGACATAATTGGTTTGGACCATTTTGCTTGACCTTTCACCATCCCCGCATGTGGTCTTCTGGGTCTAACTTCAATTATCGGATGATCAGAACTAAACAATGAAGGAATTCCAAATTCCGAGCTATTTGAAATCGAGATGTAGCTGCAAGGCTCCTTTTAGGGCTTTCAACAGTAATAGGTTATATGGTCCATTTCTTACATAGGGCAACTTGTTTCATGCTAACCTGTCTTACCTTGCTGCAGATGATTAGTCACTTACTGCAGATTATCTCATATTAATTGTAAGCTATTCAAGTTTATAACAAGTTTTACTGGAATGAGCATTCTTTTATTTCATGTCTTGCATCAGTGTGCCTGTTAAGTTCCTCCTACTACTAAGAATCTGAGATGAACAACTGCTTAACTTCTACTTGCAATTTGTTCTGCAGGATTCATTTTATAATACAATAATCTAGAGAGTTGAAACCATGTCTTTAGTAAGTTCTGCAGAACCAGCTTCAGCAGCATATAGAAATACAAAGCTTTACTCAATACAGGGTAGCAGTAACAATTCTGGCTTGTCCACTCAAATGTTTAGCTCTGATAAGCATAAGCCTGTTTACATTACTGATTCTTACAGCAGTGAGAGCTATGAGAAATACTTTCTTGACTCTCCTTCGGAAGAGCTTATACATCCATCTAGTTCTGTGATTTCAGGAAGTTCATTTCGCCCACAGGATTTCTCTTCTTACCAGCTAAGAGGTACTTCAGTTTTCTCCATCACTGGTAAAAAACCATTAAACTCTTCTGTTTCTTAATTAGATGCCCTAATATCTTTCAATCCAATTTTTTTTCTTTTATCAGGTTACTTGGAAATACAAAGCCGAGATACATTAGACTCTGATACAGATAAATTGAAACTGAAACTTCAAGAACTGGAGAGAGATCTGCTTGCTGATAATGATGTTGATGAAGATGATGACATGTTTTTCACGGGGCTACGCATGGAAATAGATGGTGAATGGTCTGATCCTATCAGGACAGAAGCACTCCATGAATCACCCAAGGAATCATCAACCTCAGATTCTTATCTCAGTAGCATCAGCAGTAACAAAAAGGTATCACATGTTTCATCTCAGACTCCGAAGCAAATGCTTATTAAGTGTGCTGCTATACTCTCAGAAGGCAACATTGAAGACGCTTCAGCCATAATAAATGAGCTTCGCCAGCTGGTCTCAATTCAAGGAGATCCTCCTCAGAGAATTGCGGCCTACATGGTTGAAGGTCTTGCAGCTCGCATGGCTGCATCTGGAAAATATCTTTATAAAGCTCTAAGATGCAAAGAGCCCCCTTCTTCTGATAGGCTTGCAGCCATGCAAATCCTTTTTGAGGTGTGCCCTTGTTTTAAATTTGGATTTATGGCAGCAAATGGTGCAATTATAGAGGCGTGTAAAGATGAAAAGAGAGTACATATAATAGATTTTGACATAAATCAAGGTAGTCAATATATTACACTGATTCAAACAATTGCTAAGCGGCCTGGTAAGCCTCCTCACTTGAGGTTGACTGGGGTTGATGACCCTGAGTCAGTTCAACGTCTTAATGGAGGTCTTGAAATTGTGGGACTAAGACTTGAGAATCTAGCAGAAGCACTTGGTGTGCCGTTTGAGTTTCAAGCTGTTGCCTCCAGGACTTCTCTTGTTACTCCATCTATGCTGGATTGCCGGACAGGTGAAGCACTTATAGTGAACTTTGCATTTCAACTCCACCACATGCCTGATGAGAGTGTTTCAACAATAAACCAGCGAGATCAGCTTCTTCAGATGGTTAAGAGCTTGAATCCAAAACTTGTTACTGTTGTTGAGCAAGATATTAACACAAACACATTACCTTTTTTACCAAGGTTTATTGAAGCATATAGTTACTACTCTGCTGTCTTCGAGTCTCTGGATACGACACTTCCAAGGGAGAGTCAGGACAGGATGAATGTTGAAAGGCAGTGCCTGGCACGGGACATAGTCAACATTGTTGCTTGTGAAGGAGAGGAAAGAATAGAGCGATACGAGGTTGCAGGAAAGTGGAGGGCAAGGATGACGATGGCTGGCTTCACTTCATGTCCAATGAGTCCAAATGTGATTGATATGATCAGGAAGCTTATCAGGGAGTACTGTGACAGGTATAAGCTGAAGGAGGATTTAGGCGGGCTTCATTTTGGTTGGGAAGACAAAAGCTTGATTGTTGCTTCAGCATGGAGGTAGAAATATCAGGTTTATGTCACTTTTACCCGTATCTGGCTTTAAATCAGTTTTGTATGGCCATTGTAACTATAATATTGTGTGGGATCCAGATGCACGCTAATGTATTATCTAAGTTGTTCCGGTGAAAGACTTTCTTTTTGTGCTGATGTAAAATCTCAGGGATGAATAGGGATTGCTAATTATCTAACATTTTCTTGAATAATATATGTTTCCAGTTGCTTTACAAATTTGAAATGTTTCTTTTCGAGCTCAGCCAATGTGTTTTTTTTTTGGTATTTGAGGCTTCAAGATTTGAACCTGATCACTAGACCTAAGAGTCTAGAACTCTAACAACAAGTCACACAGCTGTCGGCGAGCTTAGCCAATACGTTGATTAGCCAAAAAAAATTGTAGTAGTTTCCACGTATTACATTTTTAAACTTGTCAATTTAGCAAGTTAGAGGATATAAGTTAATGCCAGGCTACAAAGCTAGGTACTCATTTCTTTTCCTTTATAGTGTTTGCTTTGTAAGTCACTTTGTAGGTCAAAATTGGCAAATTCTAGCCAATTTGAACTTAAGGGAAATGGTGCAGGAAACATGAATCAAGCCAAATATTGAATTCTATCCAAATCAAACTGGATTAAAATAAAACCTGTGTAGGAATCTTCAATTCAGAAAGATTATTTTACGTAAAGGTTTTATAGCCATACCTCCCAAATGGAAAATTTTAATCCTGCTTTATAGTACAAAGTATTCCTTTTGGTACTTGAATGGAGAACACCTGAAATTGTGTTGGGACACCCATTAACTGTCTGATTAAATCCAAAAATATTGTTTACATAAATGTTTTAGTGTTGATGGCTTGATGCTCCGAACTCACCCATTAACTTTCTGCAAGGTTCCAATGCACAAAAAGTGAAACAAGCAGAAAAAATAAATAAAAAAATAAAGAGAGAGACAGAGAAGATGAAGTAGAAAGAAAACTGCATAAAACTCTTGGTAAACATTAGCACTATAGAATTTTCATCATAGATTACAAAATTTTCCCAGTATCCAAAATATAACTATCTTTTACGTTTTTCCCTTTGTGGGTGGAAGTAGGGAATAACAACATTAAAAGAATGATTGACTGATTGTCATTGTAAAAATAGTAATAGCCTCAAATTTTACATGAGCATTCCTCATCTCTTTCAAAAAATGCAAGATACATTAGTAGTGAATGGTATACCTAATGCTTCATGCCTACGGAACACAAAGCTAGTTCAGCTTAGGCCTGCATTTCTTCCAATACTCTTACTAGTTTCTCACGGGGAATTGCTGTTTCACTTTGCTCTGTCAGCATTTTCCTCAATCTTCATCCAAGCACATGAAAAGGACAAGGAAAAACAAAATTAGAATTGAAAATTCAAAGGAAAGTAAATGTTGAATAAAAAGCTAATTATTGAGATGATGGGTTGAATGATTTATCTATTTGACAGCATATCCATATCTCATTAATCTTGTTGATGTCAAATCATATTTCCAATAAATATGGATAACATAAATTGAAACTAGAGATAAATGTTCTCTATCTTTTATTGAAAGATAATTTTCAAATATATAGAAGATCCAACATTTACAAAAAAGTCCACAAAATTAGAACACAATCGTCCAAACATAGAAATAAATAAAAGTAAGTAATGAGCATAAAAATAAATCCCAACAAATCAAAAAATAGATCTTGATTTAATACACATGCTATCAACACTCTTCCTCAAGCTGGAAAAGAGATATTTATCATTTTGAACTTGTCAGCAAGCATCTCAAAGTTTGATTTAGTTAGTCCCTTTGTTAGGATGTTTCCCACTTGTTGCTTTATAAGAACATAGGTTGTACAAATCACTCCTATATCAATATTCTCTTTGATAAAATGCCTATCAACTTCCACATGCTTTGTTCCATCATGATGCATTGGATTATGAATAATACCTATAGGATTCTTATTATTGCAATACAACTTTATAGAGTATTCCGTCAACATTTTCAGCTTTTCTAAAAGTCTTTTCAACCAAATAAGTTTACAAGTTCCTTATGCAAGGGCTTTAAATTCTACTTCAACACTACTTTGAGCAACAACAGACTGTTTCTTGCTCCTTCACATGACAAGATTATCCCAAACCTTCATACAATACCTAGAAATGGATCTTCTATCTTCAATTGATCTTGCCTAGTTTGCATATGTAAATGATTCCACATTTCTTTGATCTTTTTTCTCAAATAGCAACTCTTTACTTGGTGTGTTCTTCAAATACCTAAAGATCTGATACATGGGTTCAAGATAATCCTAAAATGGAAAGTGCATATACTGACTCACTACATTAACTACAAAAACTATATCATATCTTGTATGAGACAAGTACATCAGCTTCTAACTAGTCGTTGATATCTCTCCGTATCTACTAGAATTCCTCTTTTCACTCTAAACTTCGCATTAAGATCATAGATGTATCAATTGGCTTACAACCAAGCATACCAATATCTTTCAAGAGATCAACTGTATATTTCTTTTGAGAAACAATAATACCATTATTGTTCTTTGCAATTTTCATCTTTAGAAAGTATTTTAATTGTCCAAGATCCTTAATTTTGAATTTTTTTTAAAGAATTTTCTTTGGCTGCTCTATTTTTTTGGTGTCATCATCTGTTAATATAATATCATTAACATAAATGGTCAAAATAGTCTTTTTCCATGTTGTGAGTGTTTGAAAAAAAAAAGGTATGATTAGTTTGCCATTGGCTAAATCCATGACTCCTTACTGAGTTTGCAAAGTGATCAAACCAAACCTTCGATAACTGTTTTAAATCATAGAGAGATTTCTTCAGTTTGCATATCCTTCTGTCATTGTTTCCCCTTTAAAGCCAAGAGGCAAGTTCATACAAACTTCTCTATGTAACTACCCACTAAGAGAGGCATTCTTGACATCCATCAAATGTAATGGCCAATTAAGATTAGCAACCAGTAAAAATAGTACCTTTATAATATTTAATTTAGCAACTAGAGTAAAGGTTTCAGTGTAGTCTACTTTAAAAGTTTGTATAAATCCCTTTTACAACTAGGTAGGCCTTATGTCTCTTTATTCCACCATCTGAATTATACTTAATAGTAAACACCCACCTACATCTGACTGATTTTTTTCTTTTGGTAACTATACAACATCCTAAGTCTTGTTCCTTTTCAATGCTCTCAACTCTTTAAGTATAGTAGTTTTCCATTGTAGGATTTTTAGAGCTGCATGTATATTTTGTAGATTTTAGTGACCTCAATCTTTGCTATCATGGCATGAAATATTGTAGACAAACTTATAAGATAGATAATTGGACAACATATGTTGAGTGTATGGTCTTACGCCTTTTTTAGTGCTATAAGTATGTCTAGATTATTAGATGGAGTATTCACTGGTTGTGGTGAAACGGGTTCAACATTTTTTTATTTAGATTTTACTTACGGATCAATTTCTTGACAATACGGTTAAGGCACAAAAGTTTGTACTTCATAAGGTAGTGGTTTACTTCGTGAATAAACATTGAGCTTTGTTTTTTGTTAAGAATTAAGCATAGATGAATTTGTTGGTGACGTAATAAAAATAATTGATGTTACAAGAAGTGGAATGGAAAACTCCAAAAGTCTATTTTCACTGAATATATCTCCCTGAAGAGTTAGTTTTGAGTAAAATGGTTGATTTTCAAAGAATGTGACATATAATTAGACAAATGTTTATTTTGTGAAAAGATAATAACATTTTAGACCCTTTTTTAGTGGGAAAGTACCCAATAAATATACATTTTTATAGCTTTATGTTCTAGTTTCTCACAAAAAGGACTTTTATTGTGAGTAAAAGATGTGCAACCAAAGACTTTTGGGAGTAAGAAAATAAACAACCTAGTTTGTGGATATGATTCAAGTAACATGTTCAGTGGTGTTTTAAAATTAAAAACTCTACTATGAAGTCTATTGATCAAGTATGAGGCTGTTAAAATAGGATCTCTATAAAAAAAAACTTAGAAACATTATTGGTAAACATGATAACACGAGCAACTTCTAATAGACAATGATTTTTACATTCTACAACCCCATTTTGTTGGGAGGTATTAACATAAAAACTTTGATGAAAAATCACATTTTCTTTTAGATAATCACCAAAAATTGAATTAAAGTATTACATTCCATTGTTTATGTGAAAATTTTGGATTTGAGCTTAAAATTGTGTTTAAGTCTTTTTGTGAAATTGCGTAAAATTTGTCTTAACATCAAACTTATCTTTTAATAAGTAAACCCAACAAGCTTATTTGTGATTATCTATAAAAGTTATGAACCAAATCATTCCAATTATTTTATTTTCTTGTGCTTGTCCCCAAATATCATTATGAACTAAAAAAAAATTTTAGAAAATCCATATGGATGACTTGGATAAGAAACATGAATGTGTTTAGCAAGTTAACAAGTTTCACAATGAAAGGAATGGATAGCTTTATTCTTAAGAAAAGAAAGAAACTGAGTTTTTAGATATGAAAAACTAATATGTCCTAACCTATTTTTCCATAACATAATTTCATTAGAAACAGAAACATATTCACTACTTAGAGCCAAAGCTTACTTATTCATTTGTTGAGGATCTTTAAGATAGTACATGCCTTTATGCTCCTTAGCATTGCCAAATATTCTTCTCGAAAGTAAATCCTAAAACTCATAATATGAAGGATAGAACTTAGCTACACAATTCAAGTCATTTGTCAATTTACTAATAGTTATTATATTACATGCTAAATTAGGAACATACAAGACTGAAAATTGTTTCATATTAGCAATTTTAATGTTTCTTTTTCTAGTAATAAAGGATAGTAATCCATTAGTAATGTGAATCTTAGAGTTTCCAGGACATGGATTATATATTGAAAATAATTCATGGCATCTAGTCATATGGTCGAACGTCTTAAAATCTATAATATAAGAATGTGTAAAATATGATTTTGCACCTAAAAAAAAGAGATAGCTCTCTTTTTGTGCAATTATGCACTTTGGAATAAGTGAGGAAATCGGTTCAGAAGTCACTTCTAATCCACTTTCAAAAGGCATTGGTTATGGCTATTTTGGCCATTAGAAAAGAGAAAAAGTCAAGCGCAAACCTTATACCAATACCATGAAACTAGAGATAAAAAACAATGTTCTCTATCTTTTATTAAAATATAATCCTCAAATATATAGAGGAATTAACATTTATAGAAAAGTCCACAAAAATAAGATATAATTATCCAAACATAAAAATAGTTGAAAATAAGTAATGACCAAAAAAATAAATCCCAACAAATCATAAAGTAGATTTTGATTTGATACGCATGCTGTTAACATAAATTCACAATAGTGACTGAAGACTTATGAATGAATCAATGCAAGCTTATTTTATAAGGAGTTGAGAAAAATAAGTAGTTATTAGGTAGTAGTAAGCATAAGTCACCCTATGCTTTAACTTCATCAGCATTACTTAGCAAAAAGAAGAAAAAAAAATTGTGACACAGGAGGAGATCATAATTATCCCAGAGCTTACTAATTACACATAGTTGCCCCAATTTGCAAAATTAATAAAAAATGAAAATATGGTAACTAAAGATTGCCAG